CAAACCTCCCTGTGGGCACCTTAAAGGGGGGGGGGGGGGGGCGGGGGGGGCGTGGGGTGAAGTTAGCGATTCGTTTGCTCAGCGAAAAGGTAACGATACTCTGTTCACATTTTGCCTTCATTATTTTTGTCTGCGACTATTCTTTAACAGGAATATCTCACTTTTAGACTCTCTCTTAAACTCTGCAATACTCCTGTTGGCGACCTAAATAGCTAAACTGTAGACTTGTTTGGGCTTGCATTTCCTGAGCGTTTTTTATGGACTTCCTATTGATTTTAATGCACTTCCCGTTGTTCACCACAGTGACTGAAAACAACACTGCGATGGGTGAACATGTCAAGTACAAGATAACCAATGAGAATTTGACAATACAACTTCAGAGTTGGTCTATTATCCAAAACAGGAACTCTGATGTAGGTAAAACCCAAGGTCAGCTTAAATCCCAAGCAAAACCTACTTCAAAAATTAAACCTCAAATTAACAAACCCATTGAAAAGACGATTACACTCATAAACCCGTCAAACACTCATGTGGGGTACCGGGAATTATGCATGTTAATGTTACGGCTCAGAAAAGCCTGTCTCGGGTATGAAAGGTCTGCTAGTGATAGGCGTATGCTAGTCTTTTACGGTCACTCTTGGTTACAGAGCTACTTCCAACAAAAAATGTCTTTCAGGATCGTCAACAGCGGGATATCATGACTGTCAGAGATCGTCTAGAAGAACTTGAAGAAAACCAAAAGCATATAAGCGACTTACTGGCAAACACGGAGAGGCCTGGGGATGACCTGAGAATTAGTTGACACCAGGAATTTAAGTCAGCCAAACGAGCTCAAAGCTCTCACGAACCTTTAACATTCAGACGTGTCAAAATCATATTTATTCCTAGTTTCCAAAAAACGAAAAATTTATTGGGAAATGAATACATTATATTACAAATTTATAGTGTGATGACCTTTTTGCAAGGCGTGTACATAAGTTTCTTTTACAAAGGATTGTCTTTGATCAGTTTGTCTGTCGACTGAAAGACTGTGGAGTGTTTTATATGATAAATTATTTTTTTATAATAAATTTCAGTATAGGGAATATTTGTCTTTTTTTTCGTATTTTATTTTGCATGCCCTGAAAAATTTCCCTTCAGACCTGGGTCCACTTTAATACTTTTTCTAAAACAATTACAAAACGATATCGCTTAAAACTGAGTAACAATTAACTGAGTGAACGGCTACTTTGTTCTGACTATTCTCATTCTCTTGGATGACGGAACAAGAAGATATTTTGCTTTATTACATTTCGAAACAGCTACCATTGAAATTAAAGTTTTCATCATAGTAAAAACCTTCAGTTCAACGACTCTCGCTATTGCTTTAAAATATCTCCTAGAGAAAGAAAAAGAGTTGTTCTGTTAATGGAAAGCGCCAAATTTCTTCTTGCGGCTTTGTTTGTGAACTCGAGGAGAGTTGATGTTAGCAAATTTCGGGTTGAAATTAGTCCAATTTGAGGCCCCGGCCACGAAAAGTGATATTCTTACTTTTCTCGAAAATAGAAAGCTTTTGGGGAATAAAGATTTGTCCGATTACTTATCTACCTAAAAGTTAAATATGGACAAAAAAGGAAAGAAATTAATTTTTCAACTCCTGCCACTCGATGCTCATTATTTCTTGTGATTTTGAAACTCTCATATTGAGCTTGGGCTACCTGTGGTTAAACAACCAAGATCCAGTCTTGAACTAGTCTCCTTCGCAGCCGTTGAAAAGGAGACTAGCCTGGAACGAGTTTTATAGCCGGAGGATGAAGGCGTTAATGAAAACTGGTTGGAGAAACTGCTTTCTTCGGCCGGAAAGCAATCACCTTTTCAGGCTAAGAAGAACCTTTTTAAACAACGGCGCAAAATGGTCAAAAGGCGTTAAAAGTTCAGCCACTGAAGTTGAAGGTTCGACGTCCTTGCACGTCCTCACTGACGACCAAAAACATCAGGCAAGTACAGTGATTGTGTTGTTTAAGTTTCCGAAAATTCCATAACAACTCTGGGAGGGATGGAATGCGAAGTGCACGAGTGTTTTTTCGGCACCGAAATAATTTCTTGGATCTTTGTAGAAACAGTAAGATGACAACAGCAAAAGTTGCTTCAAGATGAGGTATATAAAACGTGAGATGTAATCGAAGATTGCATGGACGCGAGTTCATTTCCTGTGATTTAACCGCATGAATGATGTTTTGAAGAGTTCCTCAATTTTGAAAAATACTTGCTCGAAATTGACCAGAGCACCTCTAACACACGGGCTTAAATAGCTAAAGAAATTAAGTATTCGGAAAAAGGTGTCAGTGGTGTGATGAGTTCATTTTCTGAACAAATTATTTGCAATTGTTATAACCGCTTTCGTATAAATATCAAAACGACCACTTTTCGACAATGCTTATTTGACAGTTTTTATTCCTAAGTGCAGAGAGAATTTTCACGTTCTCTTGCCAGTGGCTTTGTTAGAATGTCTGCGACCATCTCATCAGAGGGGACGTATTTTAGTTCGAGTGCTCCGCGCGAACAAATTGGTACCGTATGTCATAGCCTGCGTAGCAAGCGTTTCCGTTTAGTTTCGGAGCCAAAAAAGAACGAGGAAGGGGATTTTCGGTTTTGACCGCGCGAGAAATGAAACGAGAGCCAAAAAATGAAAGACGGGGGAGGGAGAGGGGAAGGAAGGAAGGAAACCCTGAAAAGCTGCGTTCACCAGCGAACGCAGCGCCTGATTGGCTCGGCTAGTCGAACAATATTGGCATGTGCCGATCAAAGGTTTGTTTCACACTGAGAGGTCATGTGTGGAAAGTGACACGCATCTTAATTTCCTGCGGTTGTTGTTTATACTGGTCGGCAAGTAGCCTGTTCACAGATCGAACCTCTTTTTTCTCTTCAAAGTCCATCGAGCGCGGGTGATAAAATATAAACCGCAAGAGATTTATTGACCGCCAGCGTAAGGGGGGCAGTGGTGGGGGAAGAAGAAAATATTCTTATTCTGTCTTTCTTTCTTTCTCGCTTGGCTCGCCGATGTTTTCGAAAAGGAAAATAAAACAACGTCTGTGTACAGGCTAGTCGGCAAGAGTTTATACCTTCAAATGCAAGAGCATTTTCTTTAACTTCTTTTGAAACGCAAAACTCTTCTTGCGACTATATAAGGGTTTCAGCTCGTTTAATTTATTCTCCAAAGTGTCTCCTGGATCTGAATTACCAGAAGCGATTTTCTTTTGTCAGGGAATGCGATAATTTCCTGCAATGTTTTGTCATGCTGGGCCCAGCTCGTTGGTGTTTATTTTTTTGGCGGAGTGTTAAATTCTTTCGGTTAGTGATTTATAGATAAAAAAACTGGGTCGATGTTTTGATAAACACAAGCGCTCCTTCTCATTGGTTGAATAGTGTCGCGTGACCAGTTCCGGCCCTGTCCTTAAATTTAAGGATATTCCGGACTGATTATCAAACCTATTGGATTTTCGATGTTCTCGTTGACGTCGCTGTCTTCGGATCATTAAGGTCCCTATCGTGTTTGAGGAGGGCATTATCCGATTTAGAACACCTTCCCATTGTTTTAGAACCAGCTGGTCATTATTGTGGCCTCTGAAATGGACTAGCAGTAGGTTATTATTCGTAATAATAACCTCTGCCACCTTAGTGGCTTGCTCTTCCATTTATTGCAAATAATAACCTGTTCAATGGAAAGGCCTCATTTTGGTCTAAAAATAAGGGGGAGCCCGGGCCCCCTGGGCCTCTCCCCTGGATCCGCCACTGGTATTAGAGAGATTTAGAGTGGGGTCACGTTTACGGCAAACGACAAACGCGAATTTCAGTGTGCCACGTGACCAAGTTTTCCCTTGTGCTTTACTGTTCGTTACGTCTACCCCAAGATTAGTAGCTTCATGTTAGTTTTGTCTATACCTATTGTTTTGGACTGTTTTTAGCTGCAAGTTTTCTATTTTGAAAAATTCTCGACTTGAATCTGCCGTTTGCCATAAGCACATGACTCTTAAATCAGGAGTTTCAAAATAGAAATAGTTCCTCTCTATCCCGTACGATTGTTCAAAGATTAAAGAGAATAGCCCTCTCGCCCCTCATAATTGTTCCTTTAGAAAAAAAAAAGTTCTTGTTTTCATTTTATTTTTCTTTAACTCCATGTATATAGTATGAAAAAGATGGTTTTACAATAGTCCAAGATATCTTTAGCAAGGACCATATTGACCAGATGAGAAAGGTTTTGGATGAATATGTTGAGCAGTGAGTAAATGATATGCATGTTTTACATGTAGCAATTCAGTTGATTTGCAGCTGTGACCTCAAGTCCTTGTTTCAACTTCTTTTCTTTCCGTGCAGCTTTAAGTAGCTTTAAATACTCGTAAAAGGGAGCACTAATCAGGACTAATGGAGAGAGAGGTGTAAAATGAGGGCACCGTCGTTCTCAGGTTTGTCAGTTGAAGTACTGTTACGAGTTACCGACGTAAAATAAGCAAATTTACCTTTTTTGATCACAAGTCTGAGAGAAAACCAAGCGATCTCGGACATAGTCCGCGGAATGAAGGCTTCGTGAAAATGAGAGATTATATCCAATGTACATGTAAAAAAGGAAGTGTGGTTGAGTCTTAGTGATTTAATGATTATTAATACATAATAATAATTATTTAGTATAGTGATTAAATTTTTTGAATTTTGTTCTTTGACATAATTTTGACTATCTGTCGCCCCATGTAAGGTAATCCAGGACAGTCTTGGATTCTGGATTCCACGCCGCGGATTCCGGATTTCCAGGTACTGGATTTCAGTCTTTGTCAGTGGAACTTGGATTCTAGATTTCAATCGTTAGTAGGATTCCGGATTCCCTCAACTGTATTCCGCATTCTAAAGGCCAGGATTCCACAATCCACAAGCAAAAATTTCCCAGATTCCGGAATCCTTATTCCCTTACATGGGGCGATATCTGTGTACTAGTGGCAATTACGCATCACGATTGTCAATGACTGGGAATGACTTGGCCAATCTGTGTTTCCTACAGGTCCCGCTCAGTTGAACGAACAAACAATCTCTTTGTTCTGGATGCTCTTCACACTCCAGATGAGCCTGTTTTACTGAGGCTTCGCTGCATCTCAAATCACAGCAAACTATTCCATGACACAATTTGTCATCCCAAACTTGTAGAAATTGCGTCTGAACTGGTAAGATCAACTAACCAACTTTTCTTTGCTATTTGCTACATATGTCCTCCAAAAGTAATAGTCAAATTCTGTTAAAAATCTTTAAGATCTTAGATTATATTAGAATAGATCTTTTACTTAGGCATGGAATCCCCTCACCTTGACGCAGGAGGGAAATCCCCGGCCCCCGGCTCTTAATGACAGCCCTGAATTTCCTTTACAAATTTACAGCTTTGTTTTCCATTCTAACCTCCATGAGGTTGATTGTTCAGAGCAGGCATCACCGAGGTTCATACCCTCTTTAATGGATCCATTTTTGAAACGTACTCTGTTCAAGATGCTAACTGAATGGTAGAATTGTAAACCCGTCTGAGATTTAAGACCCCTAAAACCATACCCTGTTTGGCGGCAAAGCAAGAAGCCATTTAGGTGACAAAAGGAGTGCCTTCCCCCACCTCCACCAGGTCAAAGATGCCTTGGAACAGAAATGTGGGCACTTATACGGGGCAGAAGTGCCCACTTTATCGGTACTTTGCTAACTATTGTTAGTTAATCACTAGTCTTAGTTTTTATAACTTGTAATTATCACACGGCATGTCTGAAAACCAGCTTGCTGAGCCATTTACTGTGTTTAAGTACAGTTGATTAATTGATTGATTGATTGATTGAAACTCTGGCGTGAGTACTTGAGAAAAGGATGTGTTGACATCGATATCAATAACGTATCCATAACGCATAATTCTTTCTCCATTAAGATTGGACCATCGATTCGTTACATTAATCAAGAGAAAGTGAACATGAAGCCGCCACAAAGTGAGAGTTCGGTTGTTAAATGGCATCAAGACTGGGCATTTTTTCCTCACACGAATGACAGTTTGGTTACTGTCTGTATTGCCATTGATGACTCCAGCAGGGAAAACGGTAACAGAAATACTGTAAACTTTTGCTTATAAGCCCTTTAACTTATAGCTCCCACTGTTATAAGTGCACCTACCTGTAATAAAAAAACACGGCCGGTTACAACCCCCCACCCCACCCACACCGAATGTAAGCCCCCCTCTAGCTTGTATTGAAACGAATTCGATTTTTTATGACGTTTTGAGTAAATTTCAAAAGTAGTTTGATCAGCACTCCTAGGTACCTTGTTTTGAAGCGCTTCATAGTCCGGCTATAAGCCCCTCCCCCCTCCCGCCCCGTTTATAAGCCCTACGGCTTATAAGCGGAATTTTGCGGTATATGTTGTGACCTTTTTTTCAGCTTCAGCTTCTTCATCTTAAGCTTTTTTAAATTCCAAATTATACAGGATGTGTACAAGTGGTTCCAGGATCACACAAGGGCCCCCTGTATTCACACTTTAAGGATGGAGCTTTTGTATCGGCCATAGCGGCAGATCCAGCGTTTGACCCCAGCACTGCTGTTCATGTGGAAGTAACCGCTGGTGGAGCCTCGTTTCACCATGTCTTAACGGTGCACGGATCCGCACCTAACCTGTCCCGTCATTCACGGCGTATGTTCTGTTTTAACTACAGTTCCACAGATGCTTGGCCATTGCTTGGTGTCGCGGGACATGAATTTACAAGCCATGGCCCAGTGGACTGGGAGAGGTATTGCTCCACGGTGGTGAAAGGCAAAGCAAGTGTGTTTCCACGAATGAAGGCATTGCCTGTCTCCATTCCCATACCTTTGGATTCAGGTTTTGATATTTATCAACATGCCAAGCCTAGTGTCGTTAATCAGCCGCAGTGATCGTGCCCGTGATGACAATTTGCAGTACCTAGTGGAGAGATTGTTACAAGTTATTATTCTCAGTCTGAGAATGGTTCATCAAACTTTTTAAGAATTGAGTGACTTAATAAAATTGGTAATTGGATTTGTTGATCTGGATGAGTGAAGTCCTGGGATCAATTACGTAAAACATCCCCAAGGTTGTCCAGTTTAAATTTGACACTTGTACCAACCATTCCCTAGTAATTTTAACTATAAAAACTGCTTTATACATTATTATGTAAATTCTTAACACTTAACTCTTTACAAGACCTATGGGACCGGCGCTTAGTCAATAAATTTTTAAAGGAATTAAGTTTTATGTTAGTAGTCCAGGCCCCAACGATGGAAACTGCTTTTTTAAAGCATAGCATTTCCTATGTTATTGGTTGACGTACATTGATTGTATCGTGTTTTAGAAGCGGATTAATTAAAAAACGCAGAACGAAACAAATTAGGGCTGGATTTATTTGCAGCATTTTCGGATAGCTGTCGCTCCACAGGAGCAAGGAGCAAGGAGCATCGACTTTAATGTTGGGGCTTGGGGATGAGCTTGGAGCGGGAGCAGGGAATGATGGGAAGGCCTCCTTGCTTTTCTTCAGAGACTGAATTCAAATCCCTTCCCTAAAGTTTCAGTTGCATGAATATTGCCAGGAGTAAAGCTAAAGGGTGATTACCTGTGATTAAATTCTTGCAATCAATTGGAAAAAATGCCTCGAAATCCAGAAAGAAATTATGCTTACCTACATCCTGTGCTTTGGCCTAGCACGAAAAAAAGAGTTTGGTCAAAGGAACATATCTTGGAAGTACTCTTCAAATTCCTCTTCTCTATCGATTTAAAAAGTTAGCGAATACAAAATTTATTCATCTCTGCATACAATCATAAATTTAAGCTCACTTGGACAGCTTAGGACCTACAGGAATTTTCCAATACTTAGCCAAAAAATAAGATCATTTATTGTAAGCTCTTTGTTTGTTTGTTTGTTTGTTTGTTTTTGCAGTCAGTTGGCTCATAAGGCTTCCTATGAGCACAGGGCAACCACCCACTGTTTGTGAGCCTGTATGAGATCATCGATTTATAGTAATGTATAGAATAAAAAGAGAATGGATAAACTTAATATATGGCGGTTAGAATGTGCGCGAAGCTTCGGATTTGAAAGTACATGTTCAATCAAAGATCAAATGAAATGTTAACTAATTCATGTCTCATTTTTTCGCTGTCCCGAGCTGTTTAATGCTTTATTTTTGTAACAAAATTACTGAGTTGCCTTGAAGCCGCCAGTCAAATAATTACCTCGCAAAATATCGTTGTACACAACTCGGAACGGTGAAAAAACATGACACTGACTCGATTAACATTTCGTTTGACCTTTTATTGAAATATTTACAGATTGCAACGACAATGTCCACACGAACAGTGGGTGGTCTACCTGTGCTATGGGATGCCCCACTTGTTCGAAAGTTGGATAGCGCTATCCACCTGAAACATCACTGTCCAGGGAATAAGTGTGAGGGAACTCAAATGCGTCATCCACTTTTCGAACCACTGGGGCCAGACTGAAAATGATCAGAATAAATGACCTCGATGCACGCTTATCTGGATCCTTAAGCAACAAAGACGTATACCTTGTCTTGTCTACGGTTTTCTTCGCGGGGCCCTTCCAGATATCTTCAACACTTGAAGCCTCCTTACTAGGGGCGGAGCCGGAAGCTACATCTGTATATAACCGAAAGAAACCGTAATGGTGTAAATTTTTAAAGCAATAACCACATAAGCACCTGAGAGTAACCTGTGAGACAATTTATTAGTCTATTCATCATGGTTTTTGTGTGATTTGTCACCTTCTCATTGATTACAGTATTTTGGTCTTCATTGGTGGTGCTGAATTGCACCAGTCAACACCAACAACACTGTTATATCCCGGAGCGAGCAACTTCCATGTCCTTGTGTCACGACATTTTCACCGATAAGTTATTTTTAGAACGCTTTTGGTGCGAATTTAGGGAATCTTTTTGAGTCCCACAAATCAGTCAGCAAAAACTACAGACCTGAAAAGGTATTTCTTTTACCTTTTAATTTCGTTTTCCTTTTGCATATCTTTTCATATCTCATTTTCGTGGGAAAAAGTGCTGTAAATTGTATCTAAAAATAAACTGTCCGTGAAAATGCCGTGACAAAGGCATTGTACGGGTGCATCTCACTCCAGGTTCTGGGCTCCTGTGCTACAAAGCCAATCAAACGTTATCATCAATAACAAAGTGACTATAGTAGAACAAACGATAATCAAACCGTTCTGGTCCTTTCTTGCGAATGAATAATTTATGTGTTTAAAAAAACTGCAAAGTACTAAAGGTGGCTTAAAATTGATGCAAAATCGGGTACTGTTGATGAATGAAATTCCAAAATATAAACTGAGAGCTGGTTTTTCACTATTAGAGGTTTTTTTTTTAACGTTATTGTCATGACATCACTACCGCTCAAGCTTAACTTATACTCCAACTCAACATGATACTTTTAAAACTGGATGAGGAGTAATACCCGCCTTGCAGTGGTGAAACTGACTTATAATGAGTAACATAAAACTCTTAAAAGACCAGCATGTTATGCTCTTGTGGCCCATTCACGAGTAGGAAAGAGTGAGGGACTACTGATCCACATGTTACAGGAATGACTTTCATTCAACAAAGAATTTCGCTCCAGAACGAAGTTTGTACAGCAGTCCGACATGACAAAGTCGACCACCTGAGCCAGCCTAAGAAAATCTCGCTCGCACAAGAGGAGATACGCATGCCACACCTGACCCAGAAAGAAAGTCACAGCGCATCACCTCGTCATTTGAATGGCCCCTAAGCCAAGTACTAGGGCTCTCACTCTACTGGAGAGCTAGTTGTTGGTGCGTTCCCTCGAGAATGAAGGATGACCGAAATCGGTGTCGCTCCCACATGTGCTTACAGCGATCCTCTACTCCGTGTCAAATTCTTTAAAAAAAGAGCGCCTACCATTTGTACGGAAATTTCGGTGAAACTTGTCCGACAAATAGTTCTGGTATTTTGTTCGCAACGAAAACAGGAATGGGATTTAGTTGTACCACTTACAAAATTCCGGTAAATCCTTTCTCTCGAAAGGAGGGCCGGCACTGGTAATCCACAAAAATGGTACAGAAAATTACGGTCATTTCCCAAAGTAAAGCCGGAAAAAAGGTAACATCTCTGAAGATATTACCTTTTCCTGAAAAATGTCCACCGGGATGAACCACTCCATTTGAATTCTGACCGGAATTGCCGGGTTTTCCATACAAATGGAAAGCGCTCAAAGTCACACTGGCGACCAATCTACAAGTTAACAACAGCACAAGCGCGTGTTCTGGTCAGAAACTAACCTCTTTCATCATCGGAATGGCTACCAGAAACCACTGATGGTACTGGTTTGTCTTTGTGTTTGTGTTTCTTATCCTTCTCTTTAGTTGAAGGAGACTCTACCGATGTCGTACTTTTTTCTTTCTTTCTTTGCTTCGCGAGTTTCCTCCTATGGATACAAACACACAGTTCAGTCCAAAGAAGGATGAAGCACTTTACCTCTTGGATATGAAATGAGTATACAAGACTACGTAATATCAAATTCCAAGAGTTGTATTAAGACGGAATCCATCAGAAAATTGAGTAATTTCAATTTTCATTGGACAAAAACCTTGTACCAGAATAATTTAAACAATACTGCATCCTTTTTTACATATTTATATTGGCAACAAGCAACAGATCAATTTTTTTTATAAAATGAACTCATTAGAGATATACGCAATCTATGAACTCATTAGAGAATCTGTTATAGAATCTTCGCAGTTTGATCTGGCTTGACTGTCAACATTACATATAAATGAATGGCTCTATAGCTGGATACCCTGAAAAGCAGTCTCATGATAAAACCGCAATCGGAGCCATTTTCAAATTGGCTTTCCTTCTATAAAATAACCTGTTAGAAAAGTCATTTAACCGTCTTAATCCAAAGAAATGACCGAATTTATACTAGAGGCGTCTTCAATTATCTGTCTAAGACGAATTATCCATTTGAGAAGGATAAATCGTCTGGATATAAATCCGGTGTTTAGACGAATTTTGGCTCCAAATTCGTCTCGTGTGATGTAGGCGCTGACGTAGGTGCTGACAGACTAAACAAGTTTAAAATACAGATGTATTAGAATATTCTGGAATATCCGTTTGATTGAGCTGTTTCATTGGCCGAATTTAGACTAGAGATGAATTATCCGTCTGAGAAGGATAAATCGTCTTGATATGAAACAGGTCAATCAAAAGGATACTCCAGAATATTCTAATATTTTATTATTCCTATTCCTGGGTATAAGGTCAACAGTACTGAACGCACCAGTAATAGTTGTCTCCATGAATACATACTAATCTAGTAATAAAAAAACACTTACTGGTGACGATAGTTGAGTTTATAAGAACAATCTGGACAAAGCCCTGTGTTAGAAAAAGGTTGAATAGAAATCGGTTTAAAAGATTTTAATTTCAATGAAATCACTAAGTCCATCTTTACACTTTTAACCCCACAGATAAAACAAATCATTAAATTCACAGCCATAATTTGATGAAAATCATTTAATTGCTAAGTTTATCTACGTACTAAGTTTTATCAGCGTATTTTTCTTTTCTCCATGTTCCATATAACCAAAGTTAACCTGTAAAAACAAAGAGAAAAATTGCTAATTAAAAGAGAATGCCGGTGTAAGTATTGAAATATGCAACTAAACTTCGAAGAGAAAGATACAGTTCAACCCTGACATCAAAACAAAAGAGAGTGAACTGCGAAAATAAAAATACATATTTATATCGGTTTCTTAATAATACAGCGGTTGAACAAAGGCAACCTTGGGAACAGAGGAAAGTGGCCATTGTAGAGAGGTGGCCGTTGTAGAGAGGTTTAAACAGAAGTCAGGGTTCTATCTAGGGTGTTTGAGGGGTAGAAGCTTCCCCCCCTAAAATGCCCAGCTTTCCCCCCAAAAAATATTGTTCTCATTGCAGTATATAAGTAACTATATCGGAAAAATCATCTGAACATGACGAGGTTAGTGCAAACACTGTAACATTTCGCAAAATTGAGCCTCAAAATGCACCAGATTGCATCTCAGCGCATATTCATTTCAAAAAGTTTCTGGGGGGCCATGCCCCCAGACCCCCCCGGGGAGCTCATTACCTTTGGCCACTCGGGACTTCTCTGCCAAATGATAAATCCTAGATAGAACCCTGGGAGTCAATGTATGGAGTGTCTGCCAAAAAAAGTGGCTGTTGTAGAGAGGTGGCTGTTGTACCCCGTTAGTGGAGGTTGGACTGTAGTACTAATCAACAGAGAAATTATTGGTATGTAAACAAAAAACAAAGGCTTGAGCATGGTCGCAGTTGTTTCAACTTGACATAAGAACTACAGCACCTTTGTCTCGCTGGCTTTCGCCACTCCCCACATTCAGTCAGTGAAAACAATAGTTTCTTATAATGTCATGATCACAAACATTTACAACTTGCCTCCCAGCTACGAAGTCCCTCCGTTTCTGTACACCTTTTATCACCACAAACAAACTGTCCTTTAATAAAAAAATATATTTATTTAGTATATGGTGTGCCATAACTGTTCACCAATTTCTTCCTTTGTGATCCAGACTTAATGCCTTGCAGTATCTATAACCACTAGGTGACGACCGGTGATTACATCTTGAGTTTATTTATTTATTTATATGCAGGGACATCTTACAGAGTTTAGGTTCACTCTCTACTTAGACACCTTCTGATGTTTACTTCAATTACTATTTAATAGTGAAAAGAAGCGATGACGTCACAAAAATTAACTTGTGAAATATGGGATTTGTTGGCAAATCCAGAAAGAACAAGATGAAAAATGTTCCCTCCTTAAAAATCAGCCAATTGGTGCAAAAAAGAATTGGTGACAAGATATAAGCGTCATTATGCTCCGATGATTCCATATAAATCTTTTAGAATAGGCCTGGATCGTAAACGTTAGGATCCAAGACTTTTATAGAAGTAAAATTAAGTTTTGATTTCCAAAACAAAAAATTGGATTCTTTCTTCTCGCATCAAGATGTGAATATGAAAACTTTCAAATCACCTTTTGACTATCAAAATGAAATTTTTGATAACCCAAGACAAGATTGTGATTTCCAAAATAAGACTTTTGAACTTTCAAATCAAATTTTAATTTCCAAGAGAAATTTTCAAAATGAGACTTTTGACTCCTAAAATCAAGATTGCCATCTCCAACATAGTCTGCTACACAGCCGTTTTTAGTGTCGTCACGCAATGCTCCTCCCCAGTGGGGAGTAGTAGTGGGGAGGAGCATTGCGTGACGACACTAAAAACGGCTGTGTAGCAGACTATCTCCAACAGGGACTTTCTCAAAATGATTTCCAAAACAGAAGTCTCAATTTCTCAGATGGGCACTCCAAACGTTGAAAGAAATTTTGATTTTCAACATGATTTTGATCTCTGAAATAATGTTTCAATTTCCAAATAGAAATTTTCATTTTCAAAACGAATTTTTAAAAAATCAAATGAACTTTGAATTCTCAGTATCATCAGTGGTTATGATTTAAGTTTAGTTTTCTACCCTTTCCATCAATAACTTCTTTTTCAATCCTCCATCTCAAGGCCACCTGCAAGAAGGTTCCAAATGTCAGACTACTGTCATTAACAAAAATAACAAACAAGCACGGTTTCAAGTTTATTGTAAGGTACCTGTAAAAGAAACCAAAACTTAACACAAAATTATTGGTAAGTCTGTATTTGGGCAGTTCAAGTGTATGGGGAGGTGAATCTATAAACTAACATTTAGATAGCATGTGGAGATTCAAGCGAGGAAATCTATTTAATGCATTTTAACTATCAACAGCAATCAGTCTTTCAGCCTCGCGTTCTTGCTGAGATGTCTACAGCCTCAGACCCATCAAGGAAATTATGGGAAAGTTTTATACATTACTTCAGCTCATGGTCCATATTTATGAATCTATATTAGAACAGAAAAGGGGAGGATGATGGTTTTACATAAAACATATATTGGGTCAAATATAGTGTACCTTGTTTTCCTTGTATCTACTAAGATCTGAAATGCAGTATTCTTTAAACAACTTGTCATAATACTTCTTTGCCAAACGCTTTTCCCTAAAAAAAGAAAAAGAAAGGTCAGTAGTAGAAATGGTAAAAGGTTAGATGTTAGTGTTTGCATAACCATCACAGTGATGTTGAAATATCAAACAACTTACCATGTACTCTCTGGATTGTCCTCTTTATTCCAAATGAATCTATCAAGAAAGTGATAATATGTCATTAACAGTACAGTACACAGTGATTTGCATTCACTTTAACCAGTATGTAATCTCTCATTCCTTGATTTTCAAAAAAGTCACCAAACTGAGACAGCTTAATCTAAAATTTATAGTTTTATAACCCTGCCTGGAATATTCCCTTCCTGGAATTGTGCAATACAGTGGCAGATATAAGGAGGGTCCTGAGGGTCCAGACTCCCCCCTCCCCCCCACTCCCTTCCCCAAATGCACCTATCAGACCAGAGAAAATAATATGTTAAGTAATTTAAGGACTACTTACTTTGAAGCAGAAAATTGATACCACTGAATAGAGATTTGATATAAAGGTATATGTTGTTTCATTCCCCATAAAATATTGTGTAGTCTTGAAGAAAGCTTGAGGTTATTGGCTGACTAAACAGTACCAACAGAGAACACAAGTTTGGATCGATGTAACCCAGGAATAATTAGTGCGAATAAGGTTATCAACCCAGTATGGTATAGCAATGAGTTTAAATGGAAGTCAACATACCTGTGTTCTTCCTTTATGACATCCAAGTCAGTTTTGTCTCTGGAGCTATACTCAAATAATAAAGATAATTAAAACATAGGACTTAGAAAAAAATAATTAGCCTTACAAAATTGCATTTTTGTATATATTCACTACAGTGGAACCTTGATCATTTTTCATTCAAAAATCACCCCCAGCTTATTCTTTAGAAACAGCTAGTGTTCATCACATTTGGAAGATGTTTTCTATTATTCTGTTCTTTTAATATTAATTAGTACTTGTTAATTATCCAGACTCATTGCCCTTGGGGTAAATAATATTCTGAAAATTTGAGGTCTGGAAATAGAAAATATAAGTATGAATGAGCTCTTGTCACTGATTTTATTGTTTCAGAAAAAGATTGACCAGTAACTATTATAGTGGCTAAAAGTGCATTTATCTGTCATATGTGGCAAAGTCGATAACTCATTTAGGCATGCAGCTGAATGCACTTCACTGCATAAACATAAGTAAGCGGCACTTTATTTCTTTGAAAAGAATAAGAATCCGCTTCAAGGTAAAAGAAGGGCAAAATAAATTACAGATTCATAGAAGAATAATATTACATGCAGTAAAAGAAACCCACTTTCATAAATCAGGCAACAAACTGGGCGAATACTATAGTAATTTTTTTCTTTTAATTTTGTCTTTGATAAATTTGTGAATCACAAACCTGTCTCTCTTGTAATGCTCTATTCCTTTTCCATAATACAATATATAGTCATTGATCATCTTTTTGTGTTTTGAGTACTAAATTGTCAAGGAACCTCTTTAGTTTATATCATTTCCTTTTTAAATTTAAGTAACAGTATTACTGAAATTCTCACAAGTTTTTTTGTATTTTGTATTTGCATTTTTGTATTTTATTTTTAGTGCATCCTATAGATAATACTTTAGTTGTACAATATCAATTAGTACAAGTTTGATTAAACTACGTAAACATAATAAGATTACATTCATCTGTAATATGTGGCATATTGTGTTTTTGTGAAAACTTAACACCAATTCTGTTAATAGCTAAAGGTTAGGGAATGCAGGTGAGTTTCCAGCTTCTGATCAAAGGTAAAAATGCTCTTGCGCTAATGCTGGTGCTTTGCATATGTTTCACGTGATAGACTTGGTCAAATAATACGGGCTGATCAGATTAAAAGGTACTAGAGGGTAAAAACATGAATGATGAGATTACGTTCTATTCATTCCATTTCTTCTTGACTTGGTGGAAGTCCAAAGGAATACTGGCTACATACTTGCCAAGCAAGTGTAACAGCAACTTGGAGATTAAGATTGTGGGATCTTAAATAGCCCCCAAAAGGTACAGTACACACCCTTATAAAATGTACAATCATACACAAAATGACCAGATAGTGAACATTAAAAGAATTTCTTTTAATATTCATTAATAGCTCATGTACTACAGTAGTTAAGTTAACTTTTGACAAGATCGGTGTTATCATGATTTTATGTGGATTTCCAATGATATTGAAGTACAAGTTGTATCAAATCTTGGCAACAAATAAAAGGCAGGCCTGAAATAGCAATGACTTAATTTCCCTGAAGTAATCAGTGGCAGATCCAGGGGAGGGGTCTAGGGGGCCTGCTCCCCCACCTTATTTTTAGACTAAAATGAGACCCGAAGGGCCAAAAAAAAATTTTTTAAAGACCAGGTCCCCCCCTTATCTCAGGGTCTGGATGACCGGATCCACCCCCCCTTTTCTGAAGGTCTGGATCTGCCACTGGTAGTTATTATAATATTAAAAAAAGATACTGCATCCAGGGCTATGAACTCATATTTTTGACCTTTTGCCTCTATCCTGAAAAGTTCAACACATATTAATGGCATTATCAGATGATTTCACAAACAAACAAAGAATAACTGGGTACCAAATTATTAGGGCAACTAGATCACACCAAAAATAGTTTTCAGCAACTTTTCTAGCATGTCTTACCAATCTCAAAATTACAGCTTACAACAGAAGAATCCTATTGAAAAGAAATACCGCAGAGCCAAAAGAGGGTGCAGATGGGAAAGACCACAGAAGATCAAAACAAACTGCTTTTATTACAAAGTGTTTCATACCGTTATTCAAGAAGATCAGGAACTCAACTCAGAGACCCAAGAAAGTCCCATATAGGGTTCTTCAATCTGGCCATCCAGGCTAAAATAATTTGCTCTTATACAGCCCTCTGATCTCAACCTCTTTCTGACTGGCTAATCCTGACTCCACACATGTACTTGAAAAATCCCTGAGTCACAAGGAATGCGTCAGGGGCACAAAAAAAAATTTGAAAAAGGTTATTGGGTAGAGAAACTTTGACTAACATTGGTTGATGATACAAGCAATGCTAATCAATTTATTTGACCTGTTACCTGCTATATTCATTTGAAACCATGCGTTTATTTGGTAAACCAGAAGTTGTATTGGACTTTCTCTTGATGCCAGACAGTTCATCATCTCTCCAAGTCTTCCTCCTGTGACACAGTGACTCAACATTAACAAAAACATGTCATACAAAAGCTGACCCGCCCTTGAATTTCATTTTTATTTACTTGTTTGTTCGTTGTTGTTTTTTTTTGTTTTGCTTTTTTTGCAATATTTATTGCTGTGCATCAATCCTTCGGTATTGCACTTGCGGTACATTGTATGTTGCTGTTTCAAGGCCATGTTGCATGTTGTAGGAAAATAATTATT